AGACGGAGCCATTCTCAGGCATGGCTGTGAATTACAAATGCTTTCCAAGCCTCTGTGGTCCCCAAATTCCTCCAGTCCAGTTTACCTAACTGCTAAATCACTCAGTGGCTTTCTGGAGGAGAGTGCATTCACTGAGGGCAGACATTGTGTGCCCATCCCCCAATCTGGATCCCTGCCTCCGCTCCCAGTCCTTCCCTCCAGCTCTTGCTAATCTGTGAGCACATGAAGGATGTGCCCACCTCAGGGCATTTGCACGTGTTGTTCCTCTGCCTATAATGATGCCCTCCACACCCATGTTCACATGGCACACCCAAAGACCACATCCCCAAAAGTCCACACTATCAAATATAGCAGGGCATACGCTGTTTATTTTTCCTTGTAACCCTTATGACTACTTGCCATGTTATTATTTGTTGCTGTTTACAATCCTCCAGGGCAGTTGAAACTTTCTCTTTTTCACTGTTGTGTTCCCAATTAGAAGAACAGTGCCTGGTACACAGTAAGTGCTGGGTAAACGTGTGCTAAATGAATTAATGAATGAATGGATGGTCCCTGAAATACAGACATGATATGAATCTTTTGAGAAAAGGCTCTGAGGGATGGTGCTCTCTGATGTCTACAGGCCTGGATGTAGTCCTTTTGAGGGAGGGGGGAAGGATGAACAATTACAGCACAAGGATACTGGATATCAGCATACTAGAGGTGAGGTAGGAAAATGCAAGAACCCAGCAACACAAATGTTACTTTTTGTAGGGCGGCACCTCCAACAATGACACTCTTCCCCATAGTGCTCAGTTCTGACCCTCCTGTGTTCTCCCTGAAATGGCTTATCTCCTAGAGATCCACCAAAATGATAATAGAATAATAATAGAGAGTCTCGCTGCTGCACCACAGTCGCTGCAAATCAGTGGCCAGAAGGAGCAACAGGAGCATGTGAGGGATTTCAGTTCAAGAGGCTGAAGCGCCCAGAGGGATGGGCAAGGCAGCTAGAGCCAGGCCTGTTCCTCTCCAGGGCTCTGTTCCACTCAGATCGGTTTTCTTTCCACTTATCTCTGTAGCCAATTCCTAGCAACTGTTTGTGGTTTCCTATTTAAAGTGATGAAAGATAACACCAACATTCGGGGGGTGAGAGGAGGGGCAACTTTGAAATCATCTACAGCCACAATCCAGTGAAATAAATAGCATGTGAAGTTATTTATAAATATCTGAAAAGGACTCCTTACTCACACAGAAACTGAATTAATGCAATGGTTAATCTTTATGAATAATTCAGTGTGGCCAGGTAGGCAGACAAATCCATAGCTGAAACTTTTTATAGATCTGAGAGGAGTCCCAAGACCCGAACACTAACTCTCTAAGTTGCATTCAAGTACAACTTCTAATGTCCATCTTACGAGTTTTGGCTTATAAATAAGAATGATGATAGCTAATATATGCTGAGCAGAAGTTCTGTCTGCACTGGTTTGAGCGTGTCTGCATACGGCAGCACTAGTGCTGCTTGGCTAAGGGCTCCCTTTGACTAACTGGGGACACGGAGATAAGAGGAAAGAGCTGATTTATTGAAAGATGACTCAATAAGTCAGTGTCGGAGTCTGAATCAAGGTTGAGTCTCCTGGCTCCTGACTATTTATGAAATCTTGACCTTGTCTTGGTAACATTGTCACCTGGCCAAACACAACAAGAAGTGGAATTTGCAAATAAGTATATGTGACCTTTTGTACAAATACGGTATGGTAGATATGAGAAAAAAAAATAACAGTTTTCTACTAATAAAAATAATGAGTGGAAGCCCTGGCCAGTTTGACTCAGCTTAGAACGTCAGCCCTCTGACCAAAGCGTCTTGGGTTTGATTCCTGGTCAAGGGCACGTACCTCGGTTGCATGTTTGACAGAAGGCGTGTGGGAGGCAAACAATCCATATGTCTCTCTCACTTCAATGTTTTTCTCTCTCTCCCTCCCCCTTCCTCCCTCCCACCCTATCTAAAAATAAATGGAAAAAAAATCCTCAGGTGAGGATTAAAAAATAAAAATTTAAAAAATAGTAATGGGTGGAAGACAGTTTGGTAGTTTCTTACAAAACTAAATATAGTCTTACCATATGATTCGGCAATTGTATTCCTTGGCATTTACCCAAATTAGTTGAAAACTCACTTCCACACAAAAACCTGCACATGCCTGTTTGTAATAGTTCCATTCATAATTGCCGACACTTGGAAACGCCCAAACGTCCTGCAGTAGTTGAGTGAATAAGCTGTGGTACATCCATACAACAGAATATTATTCAGCAAGATAAAGAAATGAGCTATAAAGCAACAAGACATGGAGGAAACTTAAATGCATATTACTACTAAGTGAAAAAAGTCAATCTGAAAAGACAACATACTGTGACATTCTGGAAAAAAAAACAACTATGGGGACAGTAAAAGGATCAGTGGTTGCTGGGGGGGGGGTGAATAGGGAGAGGATTTTCAGGCAGCAAAACTACCCTGTGTGGTACTGCAAAGGCAGATGCGTGCCAATGTACATGTGTCAAGCCCATAGAATGTACAACACCAGGAATCAACCCTAATGTAAACTATGGACCCTAGAAGATAATGACGTGTCAATGTAGGTTCATCAGTTGTAACAAATATGCTAAGTTGGTGTGGATTCTGGTGGAGGAGGCAGGGATATGTAGGAATTGTCTGTAATTTCAGCTTAATTGTGCTGTGAACTACTCTGAAAAATAAAGTTTATTAATTAAAATAAAAAAGTAATGGGTACGTGTATGGGGTGTAGCATCATGGAAAGAGAAAATGTGAGAGTGTCTCCTCAGCCTTGTGCTTGCCCTATGGGTAGGGAGAGTGAATGGGGGTACATCCAAATTAACTGAGCGCCTCCTGCATGGCTGCCACATTGGCGTCTCACAAAATGCTTGCACTGTAATTTTGGCTGGAAGAATAGCCACGATCTTTTGCTGAAGGTCACATGACTAGAATGTGGCAAAGCATGGATTCAATTGCCATTCTTTCGACACCAAGTCCAGTTTTTCCATCAGACTAGCTGCTGGAGAGGCGAAAACAGTGCCGAGGGAAAGGTTTGCTTTACTGAACACATCACGATTCAGAACTGACTTTTCACACATGCATACAGAGCGGGTGTGTCAGTGACTGAGTTCCTGGAGGGAGGGAACGCGTAAAGGCAACAGCATCGTTGATTCACTTCACCATTAAAAGAAAAATAAGAGGCTGTGGGGGAGGCGATAGGGAAGGAATAGCAATTAGAGAATCATTATCCCTATCCAGAGTGGTAATAGCCCTTCCAGAATCTCCCACACAAAGGACAAAAGGCCATTTGTAATGGACAAGCAGAGCCAGACTTCGCCAGGGGTCCCCCTCTGGAGCCACCCCACCCCTGCGAGGGCAGGAAGGAAAGCCTGCGGCCCCGGAGCCAGGCTGGGGAGGGCGGCCTTGCCGCCGGCCACCACACAGGGCAGTCTCAGCCCGGGAAGTCTCGCTCAGTCCTCAGAGCCACCACTTTGAAGCAGGCCTCGTGGCCCCAGTGTGCTGATGGGAGGACTCGAGTGACAAGAAGGTGCAGCACGGCAGTGACAGAGGGGAAGCAGAGGAGAACGCCGAGGGGAAAGCTTTACACCACCCAGGACCAGGCTCTACCCGGGCGCCTGCTCTCGGCAGCCAATCCGAGCAGGTCCGGGCCAGGGGCTTGGACTCCCCTCATGATGCCCATCACCACAGTGACTTCCACCTTTTCAACCCTTTACCTCAGGTGCTGTAAGATGCCCTGTGTCACTCCAGTTACTGCAGAGGTTTCTCCACCCACAAGACTGATCGTCTTCCTTGGTCAGCAGCGAGTCTCAGGTCCCCAGAGACATTGTGTAACCCACTGTCCTGAGGCCCATCTTACCTCATAAGTCCTAGTAGGAGACAGGCAGAGCCCCTGCCACACAGCTGACTGTGGGCATGTCCAGACACCAGAATCTCACTCCACAGTTCTGATTTTACTGCTGAGAGAAAAGAGAAGTTCCCCTTGTCAGCGCTGGATGAGGAACAGCGCTAAGCCTTCCTGGTAGCTAAGTCCCCCAGCCCCTCTAGTCCAGGCAGGCCTCCCGGAGTCTCCTTCCTTCTCTACAGTGTCCCAGAGACTCGGCCCATCTTCCTCACCTCTTTATGGCTGCACCCCTCTTATTCTTCTGCCTCCAAGGTAAAATCTCTCCACCTCCCTACTGCCTTGCTGCTCCAAGAAGAAAACAAAGGCTTCACTCCTTAATGCTGCAGAAAATCAGTAGGAGGCAACACACACACACACACACACACACACACACATTTTATTACCTGACAAAGTTCCAGCTCCCTTCCCAGATGGTAATCATAGGTCCCCTTTGGATTTCCCCCCCCTCTATTTTATTCTCCTAAGGGTGTTCAGCTAAAAATCCTCCTTATTCAGACCTAGACTTTTCAAAAGCCATGCAGAACTCACAGTCCCAGCTGGCCTGTAAAGAGGTAATCAAGATAAAATGACAATTACTGCTAATTGAGCCCTGAGTGTAGGACGAGCACCGTTAAAAGGCAGTTTAATGCATTAGATACTACGGTCCCTGCTGCAGTCTGTGGACAGAGGATCCCATCTGACAGATGAGGAATCTGAGGCTCTGAGACAATCAACTTGCTCAAGCTCCCATCATGTGTAGTGAGCGACAGAGCTAGGCTTCGCACCTGCTTGGTGTCAAACCTACGCCTTTTAACCACAACTATCTCAGAGGCACAAATGAAATCCGGGACTTATGGTAGTGGCAGGGATCCAGAATTCATCGCTTTCAGCACTGTTTTTGGAACTCTATCAGAAACATAATAATGTTTTGCAAAATTGACTTTTCCCCAGAGCTCCAATGACTATTTTATTTTATTTGTTTAGAGCGTCAAGTGGTAGCGCCCAACAGTCAAACAGAGGGACAGGAGGAAGCATGGTCCAGAGGCCCGCAAAGGACCCTCAGCCACTGAAGCCTTAGCCAGACGGTGTTGTGTGGGGGCGGTCCTCGGCCTCGGAGTCTGGAGCTCTTCGCTCTGTGCTCACCGAGGGTGCCCCTTGACCCAGGCCTGGGCAGTCACTTTTGGAATCTCCTGCTCCTAAGGACAACCACCACGACCACGCCTGCCAGTTGGGTTGTGATTCAGGGCAGACCCTCCAGGCGCTCAGCTCCTGGCTGCCGGGCGCCCTGGGCTCCACGTGGTCCACCACAGTCCGGTCCTCCCCGCGTTTCCACAGCTCGTAGCGCTCGGGCTGCAGGATGCGCACGAAGGCGTCCATGGAGAAGCTCACCCTGGCCTCCCCGCAGCTGCACTGAGAGGCCACTTTGCCATAGTCGATCCATCGCGGGGTGGCAAAATTGATGGCCTCCGCACAGTTGAAGCCATGGTTGAAGCCAGCGTGGTAGCCATAGGGAAACGTCACCACGAACTCTCCAGCCTCCTGAGTGATCCGACCGAAGGGGATCCCATTGTCCTTGAGGACAGTGGGCGAGATGAAGGCCACCTTGTGCCGCAGGAAGGCCTCACAGCCCCGAGAACTGCCCGGGAAAAGCTCCTTGGCCAGACGTTCCAGGCGCTGGCCGTGTTCTGGGGGCACCGCGTACCAAGATTTGGGCTCCCCAAAGTGCAGGTAGTTGATGCTGTAAAGGTCCATGTCTCCCGTGTGCCAAGCGAAGGTGGTCTTCCACATGCCGAAGTACAGGTAGGGTGTGTTGACGCCTTCGATGACAACTCCACACTCCTGCTCCAGCAGGTCCTGAATGGTTCCCAGGGTTGAGCGTTTTTATCATACACGGAATCATTGGTTTTTAATGACATAATTGTTTGTATGCATCAAGATTTCTTCAAATATTTCCTTTCCAAATCTTCAAAATCCTAGATGTCTGGATCTGATACTTTTAGTCTTTCCCAAACTGGCGAGACTGCTCGATCTTCGGTGATTTTTCTTGTCCTGTGTATAGTAAAGACACCTTCCCTCCCCCTCGCCACCTGCTGGACTGGAGTGGCTATTACAATGCTGTCAGACACCCTGGTTTTGTGTTTCTTAGCCAGGCCTGCTCTGTACTGTCTGTGGATTCCATGTAAGCAATATATATATATATATATTTTTTTTTTTTTTTACTTGGAGGGTGTGTTCATTTTTTATTTTATTTTATTTTTTTATCTTTTTATTTATTTTATTTTTTATTTTTTATCTTTATTGTTGAATGTATTAGATGTTCTTCATTTTTCCCCCCATTGACCCCTTCCTCCCCACTCCCACCCTCCTCTTGCCTTTTCCCATGCTGTTGTCTGTGTCCATTGGTTACATATAAGTTTTTTGGTTTATTTCTTCCCACCCCAACCCCCTTCCCTTTGAGGTTTGTCAGTCTAGCAACCAATTTGTACTTCTTAATCCCTTCACCTTTTTCACCCATTCCCCCAACCCCCCTCCCAACTGGCAACCAACAAAATGTTCTCTGTATCTATGAGAATGTTTCTGTTCTGCCTGTTCATTTTGTTTGTAGATTCCATTGTCGATAGATATGTATTCATTGCCATTTTGTTTGTTCATATATTTTATCTTTTTCTTCAAAAAGACCCTTCATCATTTCATATAATAACGATTTGGTGGTGATGAACTCCTTTAACTTTTCTTGTCTGGGAAAGTCTTTATATGGCCATCGATTCTAAATGACAGCTTTGCAGGATAGAGTAATCTTGGTTGTAGGTTCTTGGTTTTCATCACTCTGAATATTTCTTGCCACTCCCTTCTGGCCTGCAAAGTTTCTTTTGAGAAATCAGCTGACAATCTTATGGGAACTCCCTTGTAGATAATTATCGGCTTTTCTCTTGCTGTTTTTAAGATTCTCTTTTTGTCTTGAACCTTTTGCATTTTGATGATGATGTGTCTTGGTGTGGGCCTTTTGGAGTTCATCTTGTTTGAGACTCTCTGTGCTTCCTCAACTTGTATGTCTGTTTCCTTCACCAAGTTAGGGAATTTTTCTGCCATTATTGTTTCAAATAGGTTTTCGATTTCTTGTTCCCTCTTTTCTCCTTCTGGCACCCCCAAGATGCGAATGTTGGCATGCTTGAAGTTGTCCCAGAGGTTCCTTACACTCTCCTCATTTTTTTTTGGATTCTTTTTTCTTTTCTGATTGGGTGTTTTTTGCTTCCTTATATTCCAAATTGATGGTTTGCTTCTTGGCTTTACCTATTCTACTATTGAATCTGTCTAAATTATTCTTTATTTCAGTTAGTGCCTCCTTCATTTCTGACTGGTCTTTTTTTTATGCTCTTGAGGCCCTCACTAAGTTCGCTGAGGTTCTCACTAAGTTCATTGAGCATCCTTATAAGCAGTATTTTGAACTCAGCATCTGTTAGGTTGCTTATCTCCATTTTGCTTAGTTCTTTTCCTGGGGTTTTGTTCTGTTCTTTCATTTGGGACCTGTTTCTTTGTCTCCTCATTTTGGCCACCTCCCTGTGTTTGTTTCTATGTAAACTTAATGAGTGGTATGGGACCAGATGCTGCTTGTTTGAAAGAATTTAGGAAAACCTGAAGCAGGATCCAAGACCAGCCAATCCTATGGTTAAGCAACTGGCAACAGCTTGGGTGGGCCTGAAGGTTGGGTGGGGTGGGGCCTCAGGGACTCACCAGGGTGGGGCTACCAGTGTGAGCCAGGTTGCTGGAGTCCCAGATATGGCAACTGTCTGCCGCCCCAGGGAAGGGCTCACCAAAGTAACAAAGGCCTCTGGCAGCATGTTTGTCCTGGAGAAAGCCCCCTCTCCAGCCCTGGCTCCAGTGCCAAACAGCTCAGTTCTTCCCTGTATGTCTCTGATGCCCCTCGAGCTGCCTCCCCTCCAAGCTTAGAGGGAGAGAGTCCGATAAGTCCGAGCGGGCCCTTTAAGGAGCTGCCTGGGGTTCCAGCAGCCTCAGCCTCCCTGAGCCTCAGTTCCCGCTGGTTTTTCCAGCCAGAAGTGATGGGGATTCTCTTCCTGGCACTGGAACCCTGAGCATGGTGCCTGGTGTGGGACGGGGACCCCTCAGTCCTCAGGGAGGACATTCCTAGCCGAGGTGTCCTCGTGATTTTTATCTGCCATACGTGGGTGTGGGACCAGCCCTTCCGCCTCCGCCCTCCTACCAGTCTCGATGTGGCTGCTGCTTTAATTCTGTAGTTGTAGGACTTCGGTTCGGCTCTATTTCAGGCGGTTTTGAGTGATGGTTGTTCAGTAGTTTAGGTGTAACTTTGATGTGGTTGTGGGAGGACGCGATACCGCGTTTACCTACCCGCCATCTTGACCGGAAGTCCAGCAATATATTTTTGAAATATTTCATTTTTTTCCACAACTGGACGAATGTCATTATTTTATTTTATTTTATTTTATTATTTATTTAATCCTCAACCAAAGATATTTTTCCATTCATCTTCAGATAGAGTGGGAGGAAGAAAGAGAGAGAGAAACGTGGATGTGAGAGAGACACATCCATTGGTTGCCTCCTGCACGACCCGGAGCAAGTGCGGGGACTGAATCGCAACTGAGGTACATGCTCCTGACCAGAATCGAACCCGCGAGTCTTTGGTCCAAGAGCCAATGCTCTAACCACTAAGCCAAAGTGTTCAGGCCAAATATCATTATTTTAAATCTGATTCTAGATGCCATATTCCTCAGATGTGGTTTTAAGTTAATAAATATGGAACTCCCAAACCCCAAGGTCTGTTCTGAATACAGCAGAGGTTGCTAAAGAACTGCATGAAGCTGCTGTATTAACCACTACTACAACAAAAATCTTGTGTATGTCACACACCATCAACAATTCTACAATTATAAAAATATCTCCCAGCTTGCTAATCCCTTCAGAAACTAAATCCAAGATTCAGCAGTTTCTTGCACAAAAGAAATGGAATATTTTTTGACAGTTCAATAAAAATATTAGTATGACAGATATGATTGAAAAAATAATTTATTTTTTATTTTTTTTTATCCTCACCCGAGGACATTTTTCCATTTTTTGTTCAGGTAGAGTGGGAGGGAGAGAGAGGAACAGAGAGAGAGAGGGAAACATCGATGTGAAAGGGACACATCGAGTGGCTGCCACCCGCACAACCGACCAGGGCCGGGGACAAACTGCAACCGAGGTACGCGCCCTTAGCGGGAACCGAACCCGGGTCTCTCAGGACCGCAGGCCAATGCTCTAACCGCTGAACCAAACCGGCCAGGGCTGAAAAAATAATTTGATTGGAAAAAATAATTTTATTCAATCAGCTCCACTATAATTCCATTGTCAGCAGATTAATGACATGCTCCAAAATGTTCTTTTCCACTGCTAGTAAACTTCGGTTTATCATCTCACTAAAGTAAACTATTTTCGGTGAAACCTGAATATGAAAAGACACAAAATCCCATACATGCCTCAATAAACTGAAAATTTGATCAAGTAAAATAAAATTATCATCACCAAAACAAAGTAAAGATTTAAACATTTTAAACTCCACTTTATCTGCAAATAGTCTTGCCTTACTCTCCTTTGAGCATTTTTAAATACAAGAACAAGGATGAAAGAAAAAACAGGCAATTGTCCAATAATACAAAATCTCAATTCACATGAACATTTTCCAAGATCCAAAAATATGCTTTCCCTTTTGGACTCAACCTCAGAATATAGGTTGATGGTCTGGCTCTATGTGTTCCATCAAAAATTGAATTCAGCTCTGGCCAGTTTGGCTCAGTGGTTGGAGTGTCGGCCTACGGACCAGAGAGTTCCAGGTTCGGTTCCTGCTAGGGACATGTACCAAAAAAAAAAAAAAAAAAAAAAATTGAATTCACTCAGCACCATCCCTATCCAATCTGTCAATATCTTCCAAAACCATTTATGTCCAACTCTGGTCTATGCCTTCCATTTCCTATAAAATGAAAAGATTCTGCCTTAATAAAAATTTTTCTTTAAAATTTTCAACATAGCAACATAGCAAAACTAGCTGAATATATAAGTGTATATATATTCATTTCTAATTAAATAAATAAATGTATTTATTTATTTCTTGGTACATGCCCCTAGTGGGAACCGGACCCAGGACTCTGTGGTCCGCAGGCCGGTGCTCCAACCGTTGAGCCAAACCGGCCAGGGGCCTTCTCCTAAGCTAAAATCCTGATTTCAAATGAGACACTTCCACCCACTAACAGTGTTTCTCACCTGGAGCCATCCTGAAAGGGAATGGGCTGGTAGGCCAATAATAGTTTAATTCAGTCGGCCATATCTTAGTCCAATCCCATGGCTCCTCATTGTAATTCAAGATAGAACTGAATTTAAAAGTAAAAGCCACAAGCTTGGCCAGTGTGGCTCAGTGGTTGAGCGTCAATCCATGCACCAAGAGGTGGCTGGTTCAATCCCTGGTCAGGGCACATGCCCAGGTTGTGGGCCTGATTCCCAGTGGGGGACATGCAAGGGGCAGCCAATTGATGTTCTCTCTCATTGATGTTTCTATCTCACTCTCCTTCTTCCTAAAATAAATAAAGAAAAAAAATTAAATTAAATAAAAAGCCACAAAAAGGTTGAAAGGTGAGGATCCAGAGATGCTTTTAGTCAGAAAAGAGAAAGATGAGAAACTCCAGCTAGATAATTTCACTTAATAATGTATTCAAGTAAATAAGAATTGAGTGACTTCAATGCTTAAGTAAGGTATTGAGATAGATTCGATGGAGAATACAAAAAAAAAAAAAAAATCAAGATTTACACTTTCTTGGAAAAAAATGTTAATTTCCATGGGGAAGATAAGTACAGAATTAGCATTCACTGGTAAATTGGATTTGAATACTGACCTCAATATTTACTAACTGGTAACAGTAGTTAACCTCCTTATCCATGGGGGAGCTAAGGCCCCCAGTGGATGCTCCAAACCATAAATAGATATACTTTGTATTTTCTAGACATACCTATAATAAAGTTTATTTATAAATTAGGCACAGTAAGAGGTTAACCACAATAACTAATAATAAAATAGACCAGTTATAACAATATGAGTAAAATAAAGGCTACTGGAACACAAACGCTGCGACACTGTGGCAGTTGATCTGATAACCCAGCCGGCTACGAAGTGACTAAGGGGCTGGAACAGCTACAAAGAGATGATTCACATCCCATGTGGGACAAGAGGGGGCAGTGCAAGATTTCAGCGTGCTTCTCAGAATGGAGCGCAATTGAAAACTTACGAATAGTTTATTTCTGGAATTTTCCATTTAATATTTTCGGACCATGGTTGACTGAGGGTAACTGAGACCATGGGAACCAAAACTGAGGATAAAGGGGGATTATTATAATGGTTTCTTTGACCATATAATGAGAACAGTAATACTCTCTACCTCATCGGGTTCTTTTGTGTATTAAACGAACTGGTGATTGCGTACAGTTCCTGGCATATTGTCAGTAATGTGTTACAGATCGAGCGTTATAGGAGTTCAGAGGAGAGAGGTCTGGGATAAGTCGGGAACCTTCATTGGGAATTTGGTGCCTGCCTATATTGAGAGGAATGATATAATGGAAATCCTGGGAAAAGTAGAAAGTTTGAAATAGTGACTGCCTGTGGGTGGCCATTGATATAAATAAGAAACATGTGAAAGATCTCAAGAGAGTTTTCCTACATTGTTAGGAAGCTCATCTCCTCCCAACTTTACCCACCCCAATGAGTCACCCTTGTAATCTCAGTTTCTGAAATGCTGATTTTAAGAATCCTTAACTGACAATCCTTCTGTATACCTCACAATTTTTAACCTAATTGAGACTTTCCAAATGTTTGGCCCTCTTTGGTTCTTTTCTCTTCTTTCTTTTTTTTTTTTTTTTTTTACTCATTTTAGGTGTTTAAAAAGGTTCTGATTGAGTTCTGCTTTATCCCCACCCAGCCCCTCTCCCCCTTCTTGCTTTTGGAGGATTAATGTCTGCAGAAATGCTCTTGACTATGTCCCAAGAAGTAAAATCCGAGCAGCACAGAGCCCTGTAAGGCTGCAGAGTAAAAGAAAAAAATATAAGTATAACTAGTCTCTTCCTTTGGTTTCTGGGTATTTGATCTCATCAACCAAAAAAAATTTTCTTTGTCCCTTCCCTTTTATCGATTACAACTCTAATACTCTGCATTGGAAACTATGAACAGAACCCAACTGTAGATATACTTTGTATTTTTCTACAAGTACCCGTCAACGTAAGAAGCATTCAACATGTAAAAAATATTTGTGAGTTTATTTGAGCCACACTGATCATTGCTGGGACAAAAAATCTCAGTGGATGGAGATAATGCTCCAGAAAATGACACTTTTGCATGTTATTTTATACATTAGAATAAAAAGAGGAGAGGTAAGTGTGTTACATGAAATTCATTGGTGATAGATTAGGGAAGCAGGAGATAGCAAAGTGGGGAACCTCTGGGATTGAATAAAAGGTAAAATGATAGACACATGCTTCTTTTACACAGGAGGTACAGGACAGTTAACATTCAACAGTTAACATGATAATAACAATGAGGGTATTTTTTGTCTCCAACCTGGGGTTTTGGTTGTGCCCTGAGGGGTCTGAAAAGGGGGAAGTTACCTTGACATACCAAAGATAAGTTATTCTAGATGCAAAAAGACAATAGTCTCAAGGTGAACGTTGACCTTTGTCAGGGAAGATTCTAGCTTCCATCATGACTGCCTGCCATAAACTGCTATTAGATGTTGTTGTTGTTGTTTTTTTTGCATTCATCTCCAGATAATGCAGAGGGAAAAAGGGAGGAAGAGAGAGAGAAACATGGACGTGAGAGAGACACATCGAGTGGTTGCCACCCACACGACCCCAACTGGAGCTGGGGACAAACTACAACCGAGGTACATGCCCTTAGCCGGAACCGAACCCTGGACTCTCTGGTCCGCCGGCTGACACTCTACCGTTGAGCCAAACCGGCCAGGCGCTATTAGATGTTTTTATTTTTTAAATATATTTTTATTTATTTATTTATTTTAGAGAGTCAGGGAGAGAGAGAGAGAAACATCAATGTGAGAAAGAAACATCGATCTGCTTCTTCCTGCACACCCCACACTGGGTATCGAGTCCTAAACACAGGCATGCGCCCTGACTGGGAATCGAACAGTACTTCTCAGTCCATGAGACAATGCTCAATCCACCAAGCCACACCGGCCAGGCATAAACTGCTTTTAGTTTAAAAAGGTTTAATTTCAGACCATCCTTTGTGGTTGTTTTAGCTCTTTGAGTTTGCAAGGCCACCATGCAGGCCTCCCCTGAACTTGTCAGGTTAGCATGTGGCCCCTTTCCATCCACATACCTATAATAATGCTTATTTATGAAGTAGGCTCAGTAAAAGATTAACAACAGTAACTAAAAATAGCTAATAGTAACTATAATAACTAATGATAACTATTTTAATTACTAGCGGAAATGTCTCAAATATTTCACTAAAGTAAATTGCTGGCTTTGGGGTTAAAATAGCTAACTATATAAACAGAGAAAATATTTTCAAGAAGTAAGCATTGGTTCCTATGTGGGAGTGTATTTAAAACAAGGCTGCTGCTCTGGCCAGTTTGGCTCAGCGGTTGGAGCATCGGCCTGCGGTACAGAGAGACCCGGGTTCGGTTCCCGCTAAGGGCATGTACCTCGGTTGCAGTTTGTCCCCGGCCATGGTTGGTCGTGCGGGTGGCAGCCACTCGATGTGTTCCTTTCACATCGATGTTTCTCACTCTCTCTGTCTTTCTCTCTCTCCCTCCCACTCTATCTGAACAAAAAATGGAAAAAAATGTCCTCGGGTGAGGATAAGACAAAAAAACAAACAAACAAAAAAACAAACAAGACTGCTGAGTTTTGTCAAATACATATTGACGTCTATGGAAATGATCATATAACTGTTCTTCTTGGATCTACTAATATAAGTTATATTACTGATTTCCTATTGTAAACTATCATTTGCTTTCCTGAAAAAAAACACAATTGGTTATTATATTATTCTTAGAATATAGTTAGATGGTCCTAGTTATTCATAAATAACTCTATTATTTTTTAATTATGCAATTTGTCCGTTTTTTCTATCAACAGTCTGCTTACTTTAAAACTTTGAATTGTTTTCTTTTTCTATGCCAAATAAATTTGGAAATACCTGCTTTTGAAGGTTTCACACATTTTCTTGTGGAATTATCTGGTGCTAGTGGTTTTGGAAGGAGCAGTTCTTTGATGTCTTTCTTTATTTCTTACATAGAAATTTATGTCTTAGATTTTCTAGCTCTTCTGAAATCAGTTTTAGTTCATTTATCCCAGAAAAATATTTATATTACCTGAGTTTTTTGTTGATTTACTGGTTGTATTATTTTAAAGTTTGTCTAACTCATTAATTTCTGCAAATGTCTTTACTAATTTCTTCCTGCCACTTTTTTATCAGTTTATTTTTTCCTAATTTTATGAGATAGAACTTAATCCAGTTAATTTCATTATTTCAATTTTATTGTTAAAAATACTTAACACTGGAAATTTTCTGCAGTCCTAATTTAACTGAATCTCTTATATTGCTATGTATATTTCATTCATTGTTAAATCTGAAAACACTTCAAAGATGCTTATTGTGTTAGACATACACTTAAGTGCTTCACAAATATTACCTCCTGGAACTGTCATCCAATTGAATGAGGGAGGTTCAGTTACCACACTCATTTTACAGTTGAGGTAACTGAGTCACCATGATCTTAAGGAATTTGCCAAGGTCACACAAATTGGTAAAAGTGAAACTGGAATTCAAAACCAGGCAATGTTTCCAGAGCTCACGGGAGTTTACAAGAATTCTGGTTCCCTACTTTCCGGGGATTAGAGGCACTTCCGTTCCTGTAATCTACACATCATTCAATTGCAAAGTTGGAACTTTCCAGAAAGAAGAGCCTCTGTATTTTCTGATTTTTAACATTAATGTCTACTTTTATTGCATGAAAATGAAGAAATTTGACTTTTTTTCTTACTTTGGAACGTATTGATGTTTTCTTTTTACCCTAACACACTGCCAATTTTGTGATTGATCCATTGGCACTCTACGAAAGAGAGTACTCCGTTACCAGGTACCTGAATTCTACTTTATTATTAAGGCAGTTTAAATTTTCTGTATCCTTAAGCTTGTCTGTTTTGTTGTTTTGTTTTGTTTTTTGTCTGGCACTGCACGAGGTCAAAGGGAGTTCTGAACACCCAATTCCAATGTGTGGGCGAGGTTTTTCTTCACTTCAACACTGACAATGCTCAGGACACCAGCAGATTGTCCTCCAGTTCAACTCAATTCTGATACTATCTAGCTGGAGATAGCATCAGATCTCACAGGTAAAGGGCTCACTCCTATAAGACTGCCACCCTCACCTCCCAACCCCTTTCAGATGCCAGTCACAAGCCCAAGTACTTCGGACCCACTGGCTATAGATCAGAGGTTCCCTCGGCCTACTCCTTGGGTTTGATTAGTTTGCTAGAGCATCTCACAGAATTCAGAAAACATTTTACTTCCTACATTGCCGGTTTGTTATAAAAGGGGATAACTCAGGAACAGCCAGATGTAAGGAATGTATGGAGCAAGATATGGGGCAAGGGCGCGGAGCATCCATGCCCTCCACAGGAGACCACTCCTAACACTGTCATGTGCTCACTAACCTGGAAGCTCTCCCATCCCTGTTCTTTTCTGTTTTTAGGGAGGTTTTGTTACATAATCACAACTGATGAAATCACTGGCCATTGGCATTGATTCCATTTCCAGCCCAAGGCTGGTTTCTCAAATGACTAGCTCCCATCCTAAGGCTACTGAGGGGCATTCCAAAAGCCACCTCATTAACATAACAAAAGACACCTTTATAGCTCTCACCTCTTAGGAAATTTTAAGGGTTTTAGGATCTCTGTGCCAGAAACAGGGATGAAAAACAAATATATATTTATTGTAAATCACAATATAACATAAATTATACTATATTGATATGTTTCTTTTGACTTGTTTTACGTTCTGTAATTTATACTTTATCAGTTACATGGATATCCATGAGTACATATTTTCATGGTGAAACATCCTTTCTATGGACCTTTGAGCCTCAATTCTAATTTGTCAGATATTTAGATCCATAATTCCTGCTTGCTGTTTGTATTAGCTTTGTAAAATTTTGTCTGTCGTTTTATTTATTTTTCTTGTTTTTAATCCTCACCAGAGGATATTTTTCCCATTGACTTTTATTTTATTTTTTTAGAGAGAGTGAAAGGAAGGGAGGGAGGGGCAGAGCGAGAGAGAAACAGCAATGTGAGAGAGACACATGGATTGGTTACCTCCTGCGCCCACCCCTATCAGGGTCAGGCATGGAACCTGCAACCCAGGCATGTGCCTTTGACCGAGAATTGAACCCAAGACCCTAGGTATGCCAGCCGACACTCTAACCACTACGCCACACAGGACAGGACCCATTTACTTTTAACTTTTTGGAATCACTGTGTTTTAGATTGTTAAAAGATGAACTAAGGTGTACAAAAAATATAGAGCGATTCAAAGCAGGCAGCATTAAATCTAGCAGATGGCAAGGCGCTCCGAAGAGCCAAACAAAATGCAAGTCCTTTACAGGCAGAAGGGACAGAAACAGGAAGTAATACTAGGCTAACGTAAGTGGGTCGGTTATTGCAGGGTTATTTTCCTTTAGAGAATGCAGAGGTCCATCAGACAGATTACCTGACTAATGTTGATCAAGTGAGTCCTGACTGATTGGTTTGAGGTTCTATTTCTGGGAGGGTAAAAACCGTAATTAAATTAGATCTTGGTTTGCTGATGTGATGCCTGGCATAAGCCACTCCGTTTTGTCCCTGTTTTCCTGTTTTTAACAAGATAAACTTCCTTTACATAATTCTGATTTTTAAAAATTTCAGTTTAGGGATTTTACATTTCCTTGTGTTGCAGATACACACAGGGGATAACAACTTTTTTTTTTTTATCCTCACCCAAGGACATTTTTCCATTTTTTGTTCAGATAGAGTGGAAGGAAGAGAGAAACATTGAAGTGAAAGGGACACATTGAGTGGCTGCCACCACACAACCAACCAGGGCTGGGGACAAACTGCAACTGAGGTACGCACCCTTAGCAGGAACAGAACCTGGGTCTCTCTGGAACACAGGCCTACGCTCTAACCACTGAGCAAAACCGGCCAGGGCTGGGGATAGCAACTTTATTAAAACGTCAGTAAAATTGCAAAAATCCCTGAGGCAGTCCTGGCTGACACACCCACTGGGCAAAAGTTTTAGCATGAGCACAGCCAGTGTGGCACAGTGGACTGAGCGTCCTCCCATGAACGGAGAGGTCCTGGTTCCATTCCTGGTCGGGGCACATGCCCAGGTTATGGCTGGATCCCCAGTGGGGGCTGTGCAAGAGGCAGCCAATTGATGTTTATCTCTCACATTCATGTTTCTGTCTCTGGCTCCCTTCCTCTCTCTCTAATAAATAAAAAATAAGAAAATAGAATATCAATATAAACAAAGTTTCAGCATGAGCAGAGGCTGGGAGGTAGGGTGTGTCAGAGCTGCAGACCTGGGCTCAGCTGTGGCTGCAACAATGTCCAGTGGAAGCCCAGGTGAGTGACTCAGAGGCTCAGCCATGGCTTGGGGATGACAAGACTCAGCTAGGTTCTCAGCATCATCCAATGTTGCCCCAAACTACAGTGGAGGCTAGAGGCTCATAAACAAAAACAAACAAAGAATCTTTTACATCCACAGCTGAACATCAAATTTTGTAAGTAAGCTTTTATTGAACCAAAATGCTAGACAAAAGCAAGATCAGTCTTCGGTCATGGAATCTAAACCACGAGCAGCATGGTAGAGAAGACGGCATGCCCACTGTCCCAGAGTTTTGCAAGTGTTTTTATACATCAAGCAGGAGGAAGGGGGAGAAAGAGGTAGTCTGAACGAGATTTACACAAGCTATAGGCAACGGGGTGGGAGAAGGTGAGGTGAGGCCAGCTCGGATAGGGGCAGAATCCAAATGAAGAAATGTCGCTCCTGTAGATCGGCTGTGTGCCGTAGTCCAGAGAGTCATGGGTAAACCAGTGGGGCTCCTGGAGTGAGATGGTGAATGTTTTAAAATCATCTTCAGAACAAGTCACCTGGAAATTAATCCCAAGTTCCAAAGACATCCACAGGATGTGACCAGCTTAGTTAGCTGGTTCCCAACCACCGACAAATTAACCTCTCCAGCTTGCTCCTGCACCCTCTCTCTCTCCTCCTGCTGTAATTTAATTGAGAACATCTCAGAATTATTTCCTTATCAAGGTATACCATGGCAGGTAATATTAAAATAAGCAGTGTATCCCTGGACAGTTTGGCTTAGCGGTTAGAGCGTCACCAGTGGACAGATGAGTCACAAGTTCGATTCTGGACAAGGGCACATACCTCGGTTTTGGTTTGTCCCCAGCCCTGGTTGGGGTGGCACAGGAGGCAACCAGTCCATGTGTCCCTCTCACATCGACATTTCTCTCTCTCTCCCTCCCATGCTATCTGAACAAAAATGGAAAAATGTTCTCTGTGAGGATTAAAAAAAAAAACAAGCAGTGTCTGTGGCATCTAGGCCAAGACAGAGGCCCGTCCATGTTCGGGAGTGGGCTGAGAGTCCCTGAGAGGTACCACAGCATCGTATAGCAGCTGTCCTGATGGGGAGGTCCACTTCAGTGGCAACTAAGAGTCCTGATTGTCATAGCAGGGGAATCATCTGGCAGCTTCAGAAATGAGTCATTTCTAGGAGATAAATCATCTTTGCTGGGGTCAGGCCCAGCCTAGCCCAGATTGTGGCTGGGCTAGGAGGTCCTGTGGTTCCCATGGTCGAGGGTTAGATACAGGCATATTTGGCTAAATCTTCCTCAGCGATAGGCTCAAAGACTGAAGACCAACCGTTGGTGGTGAACATGTCCCAGGACTCGAGAGATGCAGCTACCTCCAGCTTTAGCCACATGAGGTCATGATGGTCCCTTCAGCTTTAGCCACATGAGGTCATGATGGTCCAAGAGGTTTCACAACCGCAATTGGGGCCGGGAGCACAGACGCGTAAGAGTGATCCATTCTTACAACCTCAGCAAAAGTCGCAGGGGCCTTGCCGTTTTCAGCAGCGTCTGTGGGAGCCCGGATAACACTGGGAGGGGTGAGTGGGACAATGTCCGGGAAATAGGCTGGAATACAGTCCAGAGAGAGCAGGCACGGGCCAGGGTGCATCGGTTCATCGGGATCCAGTGGGGGCCCCAAGGGTTGAAGATCAGGGGCACGACAGCACCCGGAAGCACTCGCAGGACACAGGGACACAGGGCTCAGAGGTGCAGGGTTGTCCAAGGAGAGTTTATCCACAGGCACAGGCTGGGCCTCAGGATCCAGAGCTGTGCGCTCAGTGCCCACTGAGCGGCGCCTCTTAGCTCGGGCCTGAACAATGGACTCTTGAGGCCCTTGTTCCCGAGGACGAGGACGGCGACCACGACCACGACCACCTCTGCCTCTTGGCTGGAGATTCCGGGCAGCTGGACCTGTGGTTGGCGGCGAGGATGAGCTGGGCTTTGAGGAGCAACAGGCCTGCGCAGCTCCGGACTGGGCGGCAGAGGCAGGAACCTGGTCTCCTGAGGGGCGCAGGGACGCCTGGCGAGGAGGGGCGCGGCGGCGGGGCCCACTGGCAGCGCCCACCGACCTGGGGGTGCGCAGGGCCCGACGGGGCTGGAGGTGCCTCAGGCCCAGCGCGCACCTCCCTGCAGCCAGGCCCTCCCTCCAGGCGCTCAGCTCCTGGCTGCCGGGCGCCCTGGGCTCCACGTGGTCCACCACGGTCCGGTCCTCCCCGCGTTTCCACAGCTCGTAGCGCTCGGGCTGCAGGATGCGCACGAAGGCGTCCATGGAGAAGCTCACCCTGGCCTCCCCGCAGCTGCACTGAGAGGCCACTTTGCCATAGTCGATCCATCGCGGGGTGGCAAAATTGATGGCCTCCGCACAGTTGAAGCCATGGTTGAAGCCAGCGTGGTAGCCATAGGGAAACGTCACCATGAACTCTCCAGCCTCCTGAGTGATCTGGCCGAAGGGGATCCCATTGTCCTTGAGGACAGTGGGCGAGATGAGGGCCACCTTGTGCCGCAGGAAGGCCTCACAGCCCCGAGAACTGCCCGGGAAAAGCTCCTTGGCCAGACGTTCCAGGCGCTGGCCGTGTTCTGGGGGCACCGCGTACCAAGATTTGGGCTCCCCAAAGTGCAGGTAGTTGATGCTGTAAAGGTCCATGTCTTCCGTGTGCCAAGCGAAGGTGGTCTTCCACATGCCAAAGTACAGGTAGGGTGTGTTGACGCCTTCGATGACAACTCCACACTCCTGCTCCAGCAGGTCCAGAATGGTTCCCAGGTGGCCGAGGTTCCATTGTGTAGTGTTTGCATCAAATAAGGAGCCAGTGATGTCAGCGCCGTAGATGGGTGAATCGTAGAGGCGTGTTTTCCAGTACTTCCGCTCCAGGTCCTCAAAATCCGAGTGTGGTGGGGTACAGTATTTCCAACTGTTTGCCAAGTGGCGATACTCCCCCACTGTCATGGCCCTCTTCTTTTTGTGGTACTGAGTGAACACACCTGCTCGCCCAGAGACCACCTGCTGGAGGGGAGTGGCTATTAAGATGTCACTGATATCATCATAGGTCTGTCTGGCTTTCCATTCCTTGGGTGGGATTATCTTAGCCACGCCAGCTCGGTGGGCACCTTGGGATTCCATGTAACCAATATATGTGTTGAAATCCTTCAGTTCTTCCATGGTTGGGCGGAAGGTCATGATTGTCTCACTTGGGTTCTGGGTACGACTGTGTTTAGACTCCATGGCTACAATATAAGCAGTGGACTCCCAGGTTCTTAGGTATGTTTTGGGTACCTGAGAATGATGGGAGTAATGTCTTCTCTATTCTTTATTTTTTAAAACGTTTTGGTGTGTCTAGGAGACAGTAACTCAGAACCGAGCGTTTAAACAAATGAGCCTCTTCCAGGCTTGTGGACTCATCAGTGGGACTCCACTCTGGTTGGCTTTTTGTGTCTGAAGGAGGTGGAGTAGTCTTCAGCGGAGCAGAGACCTTGGGCCCTCGGGGCTCAGGCTGCAGCTCTGTGAGCTTCCTCAGTGGGGCGTGGGTAGCTCTGAGGCTTCTCCTGGTTGACAGGCTGAGTGCCTGGACGGCTCCTCACCCCACTGTCTGGGAAGTCTCTGCAAGGAAGCTGAAAAGCTAAACTGGAAAAAACAAAAAACCAGAAAATTTGAAAATAATTACCAAAAAAAAACCACCTAATAGAAATGTTGACCCAAACCAAAGCCTGATTCTTAGAAAAGACTATTAGAAGTGAAAAGACATAAGCATGAGGAGAAAAGACAAGAGTACAAGTAACCAGCCCTGGCCAGTTTGGCTCAGCGGTTTGAGCGTCGGCCTGCGGTCCGGAGAGACCCGGGTTCAGTTCCCGCTAAGGGCACGTACTTCGGTTGCAGTTTGTCCCCGGCCCTGGTTGGTCATGCGGGTGGCAGCCACTCGATGTGTCCCTTCACGTTGATGTTTCTCTCTCTCTCTCCCTCCCACTCTATCTGTACAAAAAATGGAAAAATATCCTCGGGTGAGGATAAAAAAAAAAGAGTACAAGTAACCATACTCCTAATGATAAAGTAGGGGACACAGCCAAAAATCCAGCAGGAAAATTTTTTATTTTCATTTTTTATGTATTTATTTATTTATTTGTACAGAGGCATAGAAACATGGATGTGAGAGAGAAACATCAGTCTACTGCGTCCCACACACTCCCTATCAGGGATCGAGCTCACAATCCACACATGTGCCCTGACTAGGGATCGAACAGGGGCCTCTCACTCCATGGGACCACATCAATCTACTGAGCCACACCAGCCAGGAAGCAGGGAAATTTTTTAAATTATAATCTTATGAATACTTTGGTGCTAATAGTTTTGAAAACTAAAATGGATCACTTTTACAAAAGTGCAAATACCCCCAAATGGTTGAAGAACAAAGTAAAATACTGATATATATCTATAAACTAAATAAAAATATAACAGTGGTTTAAATATGAGAAGCTCGTGGGCTCAGCTATGGCTGCAGCAATGTCCAGTGGAAATCCACATCAGTGACTCAGAGGATCAGACACGATTTGGGGGTTAAGGGGCTCAGCTAGGTTCTCAGCATCATCCATAAAAAATTACATCCTTCTGGAAATGCATTGTGACTCTTTCCTCATCAGACTTTTCAGTTTACTTCATGAGGCTAAATGCAAAACCTGGAAGCCAAACCAAAAAGGGCAACACTAGAGAAGTACTCTGTAGGGCCAACTTTATCTAGGGGCAAAGATGCAATTTTTTTTTATTTTTATTCTTCACGTGAGGATATTTTTCTACTTATATTCATATATAGTAGGAGGGAGGTTGAGAGAGAGACAGAAAGAAACATTGATGTGATAGAGCCACATGACCCGACCAGCGCCAGGGACAAACCGAAAGTGAGGTACGTGCTCTTGATCATAATCAAACCCAAGACTCATTGGTCCAAGGCCAACGCTCTAACCACTGAGCAAACCAGCCAGGGCAAGATGGAAAAACTTTAAATAAAACGTTATCACACCTTTTTATTTTTTCTTGTTAATCCTCACCGAAGGGTAGTTGCCCATTTATTTTTATAGGCTTTTTAATTGTTTTCTTTTTAAAGAGAGAGAGAGGATGGGAGAGAGAGATAGAAACATCAATGTGAGAGGAAAACATCAATAGGCTGCTTCCTACACACCTTCAACTGGGAAAGGAGACTGTAATCCGGGCATGCGACCTGACGGGTAATCAAACCCACATCTCTCAGTATGTGGGAGGACACTCAGTCCACTGAGTTACACTGGCTGGACTCCATTTAGTTTTAGATAAAGTGGAAGGGAGGAAGGGAGAGAGAGAGAGACAGAAACATTGAAGTAAGAGAGACACCTCAATTTGTTGCCTCCCACGTGACCCCAGCAGGGTTGGGGATCAAACCTGTAACTCAAGTACGTGCCCTTAAGCAGGAATTGAACTCTCCACCCTTCTGTCTAATGGCCAATGCTCCAACTGCTGAGTCGTACTGGCCAGGACTAAATTGTATAACATATTTACTGCAGCCGGGCAGTAAAAGAAAAAGACATCATGATTAATTATTGTAAGGATTCTTTTTAAAATCTAGCAGTGTTACCAAGTACCTTAACAGATAAAATGGAAAAATCATCATCTAATGCATGCTGAAAAATATGTGAAATAACTCAACATCGATTTCATTATTCTACGACATGTTGTAAAAAATCCAAAAGGAAAGAATGTCCAAATAGACAAAGATTGCTTATGTAAGCAACAAGCAGGCAAATAATACAGAAAGGAAATGTTTATACTCTTTACAGACATTATTTTTATTGGGTAAATAGTTGAAACAATCTAATTAATTAAAATATAATAATAAGTTTGCACTAATAGAGAGATATTTAGAAATAAAAGTGTCTAGCCCTGGCTGGTTTGGCTCAGCAGTAGAGCCTTAGCTGGTGGACCGATGAGACCCAGGTCCCTTTCCCGCCAAGGGCATGTACCTTGGTTGTGGTTTGTCCCAGACCCTGGTCTTGGTCGTGGGGGAGGCAACCAGTCAACGTGTGTCTCTCCTTTGACGTTTCTCTCTCTCTCCCTCCCTCCTACTCTGTCTAAAGATAAATGGAAAAATATCCTCAGGATGATGATAAAAAAAAGAAGATGAAGAAAGGAAGGCTTTTAAACACCAGTTAACAATCATTTATAAGATGAAAGAGCAGCAAAGTTTCCGTTCATAATGGAGAAGTCAAAAAATGAAATATATATAATATTTTTTGTACTTTGCACAAACAAATGAGACTTTACCAGGAAAAGTTGCTTTCTGATGTAAAATGTTATCATTTTCAACTGTTGTGTGCTTTACAGCAAAAACAAAAT